AGCCGCCGCCCGTCCGGCCCCGGGGCAGCGGCTGCGGGGCCGGGGCCGCCGCGCGGGGGGTGAGTGCCCATTAGGTCTGCACAGAGGGCGAGGCCGACGGGAGTGCCGGGCCTTGGCTTTTAAGGTGGGAAGCGAGGCCGCGCGGGACCGAGGGGAGAAGAGGCGAGGCCTTGGGAGTCTAGGTGGGTTCAGGCAGAAAGCGAGGCCGCAGCCATGCACGCGCAGGAGGCCGAGGCCAGGCCCCAGGCCGCAGCGACTGGGAGTAGGCGGGGATAGTTCGGAAGGCCGAAGGCGCGAGCGCGCACGGAGCCGGGAACAGGCGTTAGCTGCGGTGAGGAAGGGAGGCCAGTGTTTCCGCCGTCGTTAGGACTTTAAAAGCCGCAGTCGTGAATATGCATGAGGGGGTGTGCCCTGCACGAAGTCTTGGCGAATCAGAGGTCGGGGTGGTCAAAATACAAATGGGCATGAGGAGGGGCGCCTCAGGGATTGGATGGTTGTGTCTCAAGAACACGCATGAGGGCGGGGCCGGAACGAGGTTGCCAAGGGTTCTGAGGCAGAGATTCCGAGAGATGGGAGAAGGCGAGTGTGCAGCCTGTGCTTGAGAAGGCGGAACTCGGCTGGGGGGTCGCGGGGTTGTCACGGTGAAACCGCGGCCTTTGGATCTTAGCATGGAAAAGAAGCTCTGGGAGAGGGAGAGTGGTTTGATTTATGTTTTTGCGTGCGCACATGATGGGAGGGAGGGTCAGTCCTTGGGGGTGGCCACGCCACAGTCCCTTCTCCGTCGTTCTCCTTGGGGGTGGCCACGCCACAGTCCCTGCTCCGTCGTTCTCCTTGGGGGTGGCCACACCACAGTCCCTTCTCCGTCCTCCTTGGGGGTGACCACACCACAGTCGGGACTTCGCGTCACTCGTGGGGGTTGGCCACGCCACAGTCCCTTCTCCGTCGTCCTCCTTGGGGGTGGCCACACCATCTCCTCCTCAGGAGGATGGCCACACCACAGTCCCTTCTCCGTTCTCCTTCTTGGGGGGATGGCCACACCACAAACCTTTCTTTGTACTCCTCCCAAGATTTTGGGTATGTATGCACTCGAACCCAGTGCGATTTTTTTTTCAGAATTATTTAATTTTATTCATTTATTTTAATTTGACCAGAGAGAGAGAGACAGAGAGAGGGAAAGTGAGAAAGCATGCTCCCAGACCCAGGACTTGAACCGTCATCGGCCATGTGGGAGTGTCCAGTGCCTTAACCACCACACCACCTGCTGGTCCCCACCCAGTGTGATTTTAAAGCCACCTTGTCTGGGACTCAAACTACTGTTGGCCAGGTGGGAGTCCAGTGCCTTAACCACCAGACCACTTGCTGACCTGAGGGAGTGTGTTTTTAACTCATGAATTTTTATGATGTAAGGCATGAAAGTGACCTGGTGATAATTGCTTTGGTAACAGCCATGTTCGTAGGGTCTGATTCTGGTTTTTCTTTTTTTAAAAATTATTTAATTTTATTTGTTATTATTTTTTTAATTTGACCAGAGAGAGAGACGGAGAGAAAAAGTGAAAGTGAGAAAGCAAGCCACCAGGTCTAGGACTCGAACCATGGTCAGCCATGTGGGAGTCTAGCACCTTAACCACCACAATACCTTTAAAAGAGATTTATGCTATAAGGCCTATGTGTGCTCACTGGAGAGACAGGAAATAGCGAGAAATCACCCCCAGCAGGTTGGCCATGCCGCAACCCCATTCTCCATTCTCGTCTCGGGATCTTGGGCACGCACACACATGTGCCTGGCATGTTTTAAGCCGCCAGGCCTGGGACTCAAACCGCAGTAGACTACCGGAGTCCAGCAACGTGACCATTACACCATCTACTGGTCCCGTGTCGGGTCTGGATTTTAGGGAGGGGGTATTAGTGAAGTGGGGTTTCCCTGGTGCAGTGGGGAGAGGTGAAGTGACTGGCTGTGGACATGGAGAACGGGATGCTCGGGCTCCTTTGTGAGCCTGCTGGTCTCTGCTCTGGGGTCTTTGGGTCCTGCCCTGCCAAAGCAGGGTGGGCCTCACTTCGGTGCCCTCTGTTTCTTCTGCAGGCTGGGGCAGAAGGCCGCGAGGGTGAGGGCTGCGGCACGGTGGGGCTGTTACTGGAGCACTCGTTTGAGATTGGTGAGTCCCGCACACGTGTGAGGCCCTGAGGTCAGGATGCAGCCAGGTGCCAGCGGTGTGCAGCATCCGCTGTTACTGCCAGCCTTGCGCCTGGGGAGGTAGGGGCATAGGAGGAGAGAAACACAGTCTTCATGATTGATTTACTTCTTGTAAAAAGAATAATTTAATTTAATTTAATTTAATTTATTCTTCTTCAGCTTGACCAGAGAGACAGAGTGAGAAGGCAAGCTGCTAGATCTGGGACTCGAACCACAGATGGCCATGTGGGAGTCTGGCATCTTAACCACTATGCCACCTGCCAGCCCCTGTTGATTTACTTTTTAAAGTTCATGTTTTAAAAGAATTACTTATTTAATTTTATTTGTTATTGTTATTTTAAAATTTGCTATAGGATATATGTACCCACCAGAGAGACAGGGAGAAAAAGAGAAAGCAAGAAAACAAGCCACCAGGCCACCAGGTTGGGACTCGAACTGCAGTTGGCCGTGTGGGAGTCCAGCGCCTTAACCACCACACCATCTGATGGCCCCAACACAACTTTTAAATTCCCCCATACCTGTACGTCAAATCCCAGACAGCCAGTGCGGCGCAGTTTCAGAGCTCATGCTTCCAAACAGCTGCCACGTGCCCTGCGTTAGTGGTTTAACACCCTGCGTATAGTAACTGGGATGCCCTGTGCCCATTGCACAGGGCGGTAGGTGGTAGTAAGAGCCCTGTTTTAATTTTTAAGATGTTTTTGCCTTAGGGCACATGTGCTCTCTGGAGAGAGAGACAGAGACAGTGAGAGGGCCACTGGGGGGATGGCCATGCTGCAGTCCCTTTTCCATTCTTCTCCTGGGATCTTGGGCACGCACACACGTGCCGGCATGAGTTTCAAGCCACCAGGTCCGGCCATGTGGTAGCCTCTGCACCCTCTGCTGGCTGCAGTCCTGTTTTCAGCAGAGGAAACAGGCTCGCGGAGGCGCCACACGGGCCCCTCAGGAAGTGAATGGCAGAGCTGAGACCAGCTCCACGCCCAACCTCAACCTCTTCGACGGCAGCCTTTGGGTTCCCTGAGCCACAGGTCAGCGCTGAACCCGAGGCCCCCAGCCCAGGGGCACTGGCCGGCAGCCCTCCCAGCTCAGACCCGTCTGCTCCGTGCACAGCGCAGGTTTCCACGCGGCAGGCACCTGGAGTGTATCTCAGGCCTGGGAAACCGGCTCGGAGAGTTGATGTGACTGTCCCCAGGTCGCCTGGCAAGGCAGAGGCAGGGCCTGGAAGGTTCGGGGTTCATTCTAATGCTGTGGGCTGCCTTGTGAGATGGCGTTGTGGGGTGCAGATGGGAAAAGGGGGCTCAGGACTGTTGGGTGGAGATTCGAGTCTGGGGTTGGTGGGTCGGGGCGGCTGCTCAGCCTGGTCTCCCCACAGATGACAGTGCCCACTTCCGGAAGCGGGGCTCGCTACTCTGGAACCCACAGGATGGAACTTTGTCCCTGTCTCAGCGGCAGCTCAGCGAGGAGGAGCGGGGTCTACTCCGGGTGAGGGGCTCCCCACTTGCCCTCACCCCCACAATCTTCCCTGCAGGGCCAGAGGGGATGCTGGCACCTCCTGCTGCCCTCGCCCCCGGCCTCTGCCGCTGCCCAGGCAAGGGCTCTGTGGTTAGCCTGAGTTCCAGGACGCCACGTGTCTGCCTGGGGCCTGCGTAGCACGCACCCCCGCCTGCCAAGTCCCCTCCCTTGCAGGCTTCTCACAGTCGCTCCCCACCCTCCGATTCAGTGGGGTGGTTCATGGTCAGGCTGAGATAGGCTGCTCCCCAGAGCATGGCCAGAGGCTCCTATCTGTCGCCTGCTGCAGGCCTGGCATGGTCCTCCCTGGCATGGTGCTGGGGAACTGGGGCTCTAGGTCGGGGGGTGGTGGTGGCCAGGGGACAGCTTTCTGGGCACACTCACAGAGGCCGGCATAGCCCGCTTGTGTGTCCCATGGGAGGGGCTAGAGGCACAGGCGTCATCCTGGCAGTGGGGTCCCCACAGTGGTTGCTGTGGGGGACACCAGGCTGTGGTCTACCTGGGTCAGCCTTTCCACCTGGTACATGGGGTTCTCAGTCAAAGCTGCCCCCAAAGATAATTTATTGTTGGTGTTGCTGGAGGGGCCTGGTGTGGGGTGGGTATCAGGTGCGGCTGGATCCAGGGACAGGGATGGTGTCCTTGGAACTCATCCTGTTGCTACCTGGGCTCTGGCTCCCTGTGGCAGACTCACGCCAGTCACTCTGGTGGGAAGGTCCTGACAGTCGCACCTTGGCCAGGCCAGGGAGTGCCCGAGGGCCGGGTGACTGGCTGGGGGGCTGGTGCCCTCCTCTGGCCACCCTGCAGGATGTGGCAGCCCTGAACGGCCTGTACCGTGTGCGAGTACCACGGCGCCCAGGGACTCCTGATGGCCCAGAAGCTGGTGGCTACGTCTCCTCGTTTGTCCCTGCGGTGAGTCAGTGAGCAGGCCCACTGCCCGCAGGCGCCCCCCTTCCGTCTTGCCTCCAACTTGACCCGGCAGTTGTCCAGCCCTGGTCCCTCACTGGGCAGAGGCGAGGACCTAGCCCTGCCTGGCCCTCCAGGTCCCTGGTGTGGAGGGCCGGTCACGGTCAGTGCCTGGGTCCTTTAATGGGGGCAGTGTAGGGACCTTGTGGGAGGCTGTCGAGCCTGCCCTGTGCCTGAGGGTGGCAGGGAAGTTCTGAAGGAGGCCTGGGGCCCCTATGGGGCCCCGCCCCCACTTCTGGCCGCGGCCTCGTGCCTGCCGCTCTCCCTCCTGACCCGCCGTCCCGTCCGCAGTGCTCCCTGGTGGAGTCGCACCTGTCGGACCAGCTGACCCTGCACGTGGACGTGGCGGGCAACGTGGTAGGCGTGTCGGTGGTGACGCAGCCTGGGGGCTGCCGGGGCCACGAGGTGGAGGACGTGGACCTGGAGCTGTTCAACACGTCGGTGCAGCTGCAGCCGCCGGGCACGGCCCCCGGGTGAGGACGCGGGCGCCGGGCGGGGGTCCCTGGTCCCTGGGCTGCCCGGCTGCCCGCCGGGTCTGCAGCCCTGCCCTCTCCGCTTGCCCCCAGCCCCGAGACGGCCGCCTTCATCGAGCGCCTGGAGATGGAGCAGGCCCAGAAGGCCAAGAACCCGCAGGAGCAGAAGTCCTTCTTCGCCAAATACGTGAGTGGGCGCGGCCCGGCGTGGTCCTCCCCGCAGCCCCCTGCCCCGCAGCCCGGGCCCTGCTCCGCCCTGGCCCCGCTCCGCCCTGGCCTGCTCCGCCCTGGCCCCGCTCCGCCCTGGCCCTGCTCGCGGACCCGACGGCCCCAGTTCAGGCCCGGAGCCGGGTGGTGGCCCGTCTGGAGGGACCCAGAGGTGGCCAGGAAGGCAGGGCTGGGACCGTGGCGGGGCGCAGGGGAG